AATTCACGAACTCTCAACTGAGATTTATTTTTCTTGAAAGGTGGCAGAGGAAGTTTAACATCGTTGGAGGCAGGCTTGGAGCTGCAGGAGCCGTCCCGTTTGCTTGTCTTTTCTTTCCAGTTGCAAGATTTTCCTCCCTTTTCCAGCTTATCAAAATTCCTTTTGAGCACTCAATCCGGTATCACATTTGGATTGGGCATATTATGATGGTTATATGGTCAGCTCACAGTATCGTGTATGTCATGTATTGGCCAATTGCTCACAAATCCAAAGAGGTAAAGCCTTTTTAAAAATATTTTTAAAAAAATTATTATACTGTTTTTGGTCCAGTTTATTTTGTGGGAGAAGACGAGCATTGCTGGTTTTACTGGCATGTTTGCATGGATTGTTGGACTGCTTATTTGGGTCACGTCACTCAATCCTGTTCGCAAGCAGAGATTTGAGCTCTTTTATTATACCCATCAGCTCTACATTTTGTTTGTGATTGGATTCGTTTTTCATGTGGGAGAGAAATGGCTTGCCATGATGGTTGCAGGGATTTTTCTCTTCACCATCGATAGACTATTCAGGTTCTTACAATCCAGAAGGCATGTTGAGGTGGTATCAGCGAGGATGATCTCTAGTGAGACCATAGAGCTCACGTTTGCAAAACTCCCAAGTATTATATTTATCTATTTTTTATTTCTGTATTAATCTATTTTTGCAGATATGAATTATCCCGCAGCAAGTGTGATTTTTGTGAACCTCCCTGCAATTTCGGGTCTCCAGTGGCATCCATTTACAGTCACCTCCTGCTCTGGAGTCGAGCTTGACAAGCTCTCGATTTTAGTGAAGTGCAGTGGAAAATGGACATACAAGCTCAGGGAGCTGATCGTCCAAGAGGGTTACAAAGGCATTTCCAACGAGAATCCAAGTCCATCTCATTTTGAAGCTGTGATCGAAGGTCCCCACGGGCATAACATTGACTATTTGCATATGTAAGTGTATCAAATATTTGACTTTGCTTTTATGATGGGTTACTTTGTTAGATATAAGACGTACTTATTCGTTGCTGGGGGAAGTGGAATAGCTCCTTTTCTATCGATTATCAAGGATCTCCTCCACAAGGTCCAAACAAAGCAGCGCACTCCACCGGAGAAGATTGTTCTTGTGTGGGCGGTGAGGAAGTTGGATGAGCTTGACATCCTCAAAACAATATCACTCGAGTCAATATGCCCAGACTTCATACAAACTCTTCAAATCGATATTCAAGCTTATGTTACTCGCCAAGATATAGAAGGAGAGAAGCAACAAGCCCGGGAAAATGGGGTGTACAATGAAAAGCTGGACATTGTCAGGTTTGCTGGAAGAGCAACAACAACATCAGTGTATGCCGAGCCTTCTCCAACACGAGACATCAGTAAGATCAAGAAGCAAGTTAGAGGAATCTCGAGAACTCAAGGCTACAAACTATATGCTGCAACGATCTTGGCGTCTTTCCTCGGTTACATGCTCCTTGCGGGAGTTATTCATCGCTATTACATCTTTCCACAAGATCACAATACTTACAAAGCTTTCTCAAGAGCAGGGAGGGGCTTCATCTCGCTCATGGAATACATTGCTGGAGTTGTGTTCTTTGGTGGAGCAACGATTCTCGCTTGGAACTGTTGGAAAGGAAAAGACTTGCACCTTGTAGATGCGCCATATGTGGGTTCCATTTCAGCTGAAGTTGGCCTCAAGCCAACCAGCATTCAGGTTGGAAAGCGTCCGGAGTTTCAAGGTGAATTGATGATCAAACTTTATAGAGGGATTAAGCATTTGATTATGTGCAGACATTATTCCGGAGCATTCAAAAGGAAGGAAGGAGTATGTGGGAGTGTTTGCGTGTGGACCTGAGGGAATGCAAGAAAGTGTGGGAGTACTTTGTCAAGCTCACAAGCTCAACTTTCATCCTCTTAACTTTGAACTGTAACGTGTGTTTCTGGGCTTGGAAGATTTTATTACTTTTGAAAACAATGTTCTCTACACTATAATATGGTATCAGCATAATTTGAAGTTAAAGTTTCTACTTATTAATATACTTTACAAGCTTAGTAAAAAATTTAAATTTCTTACTATTTTTCTTTTTATAAACTTAAGTAAAAATTTGCAAAAATCAAGCTACTGCTCCAATCTGCCAGCCCAGCACGATCAACAACATGCAATGGCTCCACAACGTGCACATGAGCTTGATTGAGCCCACTTCTTCCTCTCATAATCAGTTCACTAGGAATTTGCACTCGAATTCCCACTCGTCTGCAGCCCATTCCAGGTGCCTTCCCCTGCCAAGGCCACCAAAGTCAACCAAGCTCATCTTCACAGGCTTGATTGAGCTTGGGGGGATTGACAAGGGCTGATATGATGGAACGGGAAAAGCTACTGTTGAATGCTTGTTGTATACAGTCTTATATACTCGTTCATCTCCTTTAATCTCTCTTAGATTCCTGCTGCAGATTCCTGTGTCCTTGACACCTTGATTCTTGCTCCAACACGATCCATTCTCCCAGATGGCCTGGAACGAACAGAAACTGCATGGATATTGTATACAGAAATAAATCAATCTAATCTTTTGAGCATTGCTCAGGACACAAAAATGCATTCTTTTGTGAATTTGGTTTGTCAAGGTTTGCAAGAACTACACTTCAGCATACAATCCCAAGCTGTGAATGCCGGGCTTAGGGATCAAATCACAGTGCATGCTAAGTTGATGGCATCCGCAATCCAATGCCCAATGCAGACAATAGGACAGCAGTTCTTGAAATTTTTGTTACTTATAATATACTTTGTAGTAGATTAGGGTGGGAAGGGGGAGGGTAAAAATTCATGTTTTTTTATGAAATTGTTTGCTCTTAGTCATATCTTACATGATTTTTATAACGATCTGTCCACTAATCACTTGTTGGATCCATATTTTTGTTGATTTTTTTTTCCAATATAGAGTTTGTATATTTCCTTCATTCATCCCCCCTATGGCACTCAATCACTGTCCTTGTATCAGTTCTAGATAGTGTTAATGGGAGTTGCCTTCCACCTCAACTTCTATTAGTAGTGTTGCTATAAAATCAATTGTATGCCATATCACATATTGCCAAGAATCCAGTGCTCCTAATTTTGCAAGATTCAACCTATCATCCCTACCAAGAAGACAAGAGTTGAGCTGCTTGAGAACCAATCCAATAGGGACATGGTTGTTGAATTTTATCTATTTTCAATCTCCTAGTGACCAGCTGCTTCATTTGGATTCCTAGGTAGCATTGCCTTAGACCTGACTCATCTGATTGACTCACTTCGGCTGTAAGAGAGGTATGAACACACTTGATTGGCTATGGTCCTAGCTGTGTGATATAGCAATCATTGCTATTGCAATTGAGGACAAGAAAAATCCTAATTTAAATGTGGATTCAAACTTATAGTTTTTTTACTTATACATTGCATGTAGCAATGTTTATTGTAGTACCATATTTATAATTTATAAACACAAAATTAGTCTTATTTTATTTGTGAGTGCATGGAATATGGAAATGGAATACAGAAATGTGCATGTCAATTAACCTAAAAATCCTAGTTTATATATAGATATATATGAGCAAGTGGTCTGGATTGAAATCAATCTAACAACTATTAAAATCCTACTTTACTAATATTAATATATAGCATTGTAGCTATACATTTAGACCCCCTCATCTCAAAAGAATGGAAGAAAGTTAAGGTCCTCTAATGGACAAGCTAGGATCTAAAGGAAGCTTTGATGGATCTATAAGTGGTGTTAATTGTTCATAATCTTTTTGTATGAAGTGTTTTAGCCATTACACATTGTTGTGAATGTGACTTTGGGTATTGAAAGTTATCTATTAGCCAGTCCTTATGGACACTCTTTTCTTACTATCACGATGGCAGGAGATCGGTATTGTTGGATCTATTATCAGTCTCCGCTTAAGCTAGTTGAGAAACTGGTCTTCGCGTGTGCATTTAACTAAAAGAGCATAAGGAAGGAATTCCTAAATATCTATTTAGTCAAGCATATTTGACCTGGTTAGAGAAACTCATTTGTTGACTTGCACTTACTAGTGTTGGGAACCCTCACGATATTGACAGTGGTCCCTCAATATTCGCTAAATGATAGCTTATTGTGTTTGCTAAACACCCTCGTTATCAAACCCTTTGTGTTAGTCTCATTTCGGTCCCAAATACTATTTATGGAAAGTGTCTAGATTTGCTCATTTGGCACATTTACAGAATATGGAGATTATTCTGAACACAATGGTGTTCGTCCCGTGTCCAAATTCGCAATCTAGCGCCATTTCATATTTAGTAAGTTTTGAGTTTGTCCTAGAGACTAACTCATAATACTAAAGGAGGCTTGGGGTGAAAGCCCAAACTGTGTGTTTCTCCACACCATGTGTCCTATGGACACATGGCATATGACATATAGCATGACACATGGCATATAGAGGGTTTAGGTTTTGCTTCGTGGTGTTATCCTATGGTAAATCACCATAGGATAAAGGGTCAAAACCACATGCACTACATTTGGTATCAGAGAAAGAGTCTCAATGAGTACTATACAATGAGATTGGGCAACCAGTTTCGTTGCATACGCAGAGATGAAAACGATGATCCGAGTGGGTATATATTTGGGTGCAAAGGCTTCGTAATCGTTCCTTAGGTATGAATTTGGTTACCTTTTTGTACTATAGTAATATGAGTTTACTCTTGGGCTCATAAGTGGGATTGAGTTGTTCCATTTGCATGAGTTTTCACTTGGGATCGTGAGTGAAGCACATTAGCAGCTCCAGGTTACACTCTGAGTTGGCAAGATTAATGTTAGCCTATCAGTGGTTCCATGAGTTGTTCCTTGTACCATGGGTAAAAGTAAACCTTCCCTAGGTTTGCTATGAGTGACAAATAGGCTAGTCCATAGCTGTTTAGCACGGCACTAGTGGATCCATCTTAGGTATGATTACAAGTGGATCAATCAAAGACTGTAGGGATGAGTCTATTGATTCAAGTATTTATTGCCGTGCTCTCTCATAAACTTTTCTTGGATTGGACTAAAGGCAATGTGAAAGTAAGCTCGAGGTTTAATAAAAAATGAGACCGAAAAAAGAGTCGTTAGAGACGAAAGATCAAACACGTAAATCATCTTCTTTTCTTGAAGAGATGAGTTGCAATAAGGTGTAACTCATTGCTCATATTCACATCATGCAGTCAAGAGTCCCTACCTTGATGTATGTTAGAAATGATGGTCTTACAAATGGTGAGTTATAAGATGGATAGCGATGAAGCGCTAAACTATTTTGTCTAAGCTTGTTATTGAAGACTTGGGTTGCAATGCTCAATTTTTTTCTAGGGAATCTTGCTATTGCTCTTTGAGTAGTTTGGTGCTAGATTAGTTTTGAGTTTGGTCGGAAAGAGAGCGGCATGAGTTTGTCTGTGTTGTGAATAAAAGTTAGTGGTGGTGGGTGTTGTAAATCTCTATCAGCGGAGTGTGGCATTTATGTTGCATTTTGTCGAATTGAGTTGACACTTAATAGTCACATAAACCTTTGAAGTAATGAAATGGGTGTTGCTCGTGGTATTACTCAATTGATGATCAAGTCATTGTGATATTTATATCATATTTATGTGATAATAAGCAATATGTTTACGAAGTTGTTTGGTTAGACGATGATTAACCCTAAAGTGGTTGATAGTGAAACTAGTCTACTTGCACAAAGTAGCATTGTAGTAGCTTTGACTGGATTCTCAATGGTGATCCATTATGCTAAGTTTAAATTGGTACCTTGTTCTCTAGAGGGTTTACCCATAAAGTGTTGGAAAAGGGTTGTAACATTCACTTGCTATAGCTTGTCGGTCGATCTGTTAACACTTGGAGTAGATTGTTGGATGGAAAAGGTGTGATGTTGAGGCATTGATATCAATAACATTTGTATTAGTGGAAATGACATTGTTATGTTGAGTGATGAGGAACTTTCCTTAGAGCTTGATTTTCCATATTATTTTTCTTGTTAATGTTTTGGCTTTACATTGGATCTTGAAAGTGGTTGAAAAAAAGTGTTAGTGCAATGTGGATATTCAAAGATGTGGTCTTCGTGATCAAGCCTTAGATGTTCATTTTGCAATTTTGCAGATATCGATGTTGGATGTCGGAAGTATGGGAAAGAAGATGTTCGAGGCTTAAGTATACTATGGGTCATGAGAATTAGTGTTAAAGTGAACCTATGTGAAGTTGTAAGTAGAAGGAAGTTGGTTGAGTTTTGAAAGTTTGTATTCTTGGACTGAGAGTCATTCTTTTTCTAAGATGGAAATTTTTCCACAAATTTTCTTAAACTTTTTCGATGGTTGATTTGTTGATCACTTTGCCCGAAAATCATTTCGTTTTCGTAAGCTAGTACAAACTAATGAAATGGTTAGTATGTAGTTTGTATGATGCAACCCAAAAGGGATGTTGATTTTTGGGGCTAAAGCAATTGAGTGGGATAGAGTTTTGAATTGGTTTAGAAAAGTGGTTGTTGCACTTTTCTAAGAAAGGTGACCCTTATGCCTTTTTTCTATAGCGTTCTGCTTGGTGGCAGATTGCACCTTGCATTTCGTTAGGCTTTATGAGGGTAGTGAGCTCTCACTGATCTTGACTTAATCTTGGTAGCCTTGCGCTTTGGCTGAGGATGGTGATGTCCAACTTAGTTGTTTGAAATTGAGATATAATACTCGTATTATAGCTTTGTTTATGAGGAGGTTGTGTACCGATATGAGTTCATCTCATAGTCTTCACTTTAGTTTTGGCTGAGTGTTGATCATGCATAGTTAGCCTCTTTAAGGCATGCTTAGAGTTATTAGCTAAATGCATTAATGAGTTTATTGCGGTTAACCACTTGAATCAGTTTTAGATTGATGCAAAAATGCTTTTCATTAGCTTTGGCATTATGAAGTTTAGCTTATGAATGTGTTGAGGAGGATATTGTGGGTTGTACCATGATTTCTTCTTTAGCATTGAAGTTAGTTCATGCATGACTTATGATCATTGTTAGGCAAAACTTGGCTATAGACTTCTTCAAGTTTTTG